ACAGTGTTACATGTACAGTGTTACATGTACAGTATTACATGCAGAGTGTTACATGTACAATGTTACATGTACAGTATTACATGCAGAGTGTTACATGTACAATGTTACATGTACAGTTTTTACATGTACATATTACATGCAGAGTGTTACATGTACAGTGTTACATGTACAGTATTACATGCAGAGTGTTACATGTACAGTGTTACATGTACAGTATTACATGCAGAGTGTTACATGTACAATGTTACATGTACAGTATTACATGCAGAGTGTTACATGTACAGTGTTACATGTACAGTGTTACATGTACAGTGTTACATGTACAGTATTACATGCAGAGTGTTACATGTACAGTGTTACATGTACAGTGTTACATGTACAGTGTTACATGTACAGTGTTACATGTACAGTGTTACATGTACAGTATTACATGCAGTGTTACATGTACAGTGTTACATGTACAGTGTTACATGTACAGTGTTACATGTACAGTATTACATGCAGAGTGTTACATGTACAGTGTTACATGTACAGTGTTACATGTACAGTGTTACATGTACAGTGTTACATGTTACAGTGTTACATGTACAGTATTACATGCAGTGTTACATGTACAGTGTTACTTGTACAGTGTTACATGTACAGTGTTACATGTACAGTTTTTACATGCAGAGTGTTACATGTACAGTGTTACATGTACAGTGTTACATGTACAGTGTTACATGTACAGTGTTACATGTACAGTGTTACATGTACAGTATTACATGCAGTGTTACATGTACAGTGTTACATGTACAGTGTTACATGTTCAGTATTACAATCTGAAAATCACAATAATAACATGAGAATTGGAGTTGTGTCTGCAGTGTACATCACAATAAACATTAGTAATATTTCCTCTACTTGCTGACAATGCTGCTGGCAGTGTACATCACAATAAACATTAGTAATATTTCCTCTACTTGCTGACAATGCTGCTGGCAGTGTACATCACAATAAACATTAGTAATATTTCCTCTACTTGCTGACAATGCTGCTGGCAGTTCCCTGCAAAAACAAGAACTTTGCAAACATGCAATCTGCAAAGTAGCAACCATGCAACTCAGGGGCCGGGCAGTTGGAGGCACTTTGACTAGTGCAGTCTATTGCTTTAAGATTAAACTTTATAATACCATGGCTAAAACAACTCACAACTGGAGAGGAAAACTTTACGAGACTCAACACAAGTTGTGACGTGATAATGTTCAAGGATGAACCAGGGTCAGACCTTAAGAAAACTATAGGTAAGTTCTCGAAATCGTAATGACTGTAGACAAACCACAGAACAGGTGGAGTTTGAAACCACGGAGAGTGAGTCGTAAACGTGGCCTGGAGTTTTAAGACTCTCTCTCCACGGGTTCAAATTCCAGCCGTTCCGTGGTTTGCAGGTAAGTTGTGAATGCTTGTTGTATTGCCTAGGTGATTCATCTACTGCAAGTCACTGTCCAGTGACATGGTGTCAGTGGTGTGGAGTGCAGCAGTGGGACAAGCAGAGGTCAGCACTACCCAGTTATACCTGTGATCTGCTTCTAGTGTTCCAAGTGCATGTACTGCTACTCTTTAAGATTTGTATGGTAATCTTTTCTCCCTGATAAGGTTTGCCAGGAAATAAGACAAGTGTTTCCTGACGCGGGGTCTTAGTTATATGATGACCCGTTGTTGGAGCTTTTGGCCATCTGACCGAGGCCTTCTGCTGGCTGACCACTCCACCCCTTAAAAATTATGATAATAGTTAACCATTATCTCTTTTCTGCCTTCAACTGAGATAAACTTGTATTATTAACTCAGACTATTTAACATACAAATCTTTAGGAGTGAGAGGGAGAAATTATGATAGTATAAGTGTTTGTGTTTGTAAATGTGAAACAAAAGCATTACAAATGAGGATCAGTAGCACTGGTGCTCCTTGACTACCTCTGCTACTTGTGAGGGGCCGTCGCCACTGCACTCTCTCCGACTCAACTTTAATCCACAACACCGAGTCTGAAAGTGTCACATGGAACACAGGTAGTCAGAAGATTAGAGATTTTAGATTTTGCCACTGAAGTGGCTAGTTTATTATGCACCCCATATCCATCCTGTGGATGGTAGCGCAACAGCCTATGGATACACAAAAGGCCTAGGAACTAGGCTTCAAAGGGTAGTCAGAGAACCACAGAAAACATGACATTAAAAATTACACACAAGTTAAAAGTAAATACATATATAGAGCATTTTTGTTTTAGTGCTTTTTGATTATAATAATCTACCTATGTGTATCTATAACCCAGTCCAGGAACAATGGAAAAAGATACAATGGCCACTGAAGTCACAGTAACTAAAATCAATGTACATAAAAAAATATATACAAATATCTTTGAGAATATGTAGACACTAACTGATTTAAAAGTGAAGGGAACAATAACAACAGTTCCAGACAGTAGTGAAGGGAACAATAACAATGGTTCCAGACATTCAGTAGTGAAGGGAACAATAACAATGGTTCCAGACATTCAGTAGTGAAGGGAACAATAACAATGGTTCCAGACATTCAGTAGTGAAGGGAACAATAACAATGGTTCCAGACATTCAGTAGTGAAGGGAACAATAACAATGGTTCCAGACATTCAGTAGTGAAGGGAACAATAACAATGGTTCCAGACATTCAGTAGTGAAGGGAACAATAACAATGGTTCCAGACATTCAGTAGTGAAGGGAACAATAACAATGGTTCCAGACATTCAGTAGTGAAGGGAACAATAACAATGGTTCCAGACATTCAGTAGTGAAGGGAACAATAACAATGGTTCCAGACATTCAGTAGTGAAGGGAACAATAACAATGGTTCCAGACATTCAGTAGTGAAGGGAACAATAGCAATGGTTCCAGACATTCAGTAGTGAAGGGAACTAACAATGGTTCCAGACAGTAGTGAAGGGAACATTCAGTTGACATTATCATTTAATAGTGAAGAACAGTACTCCCTTCAGTGATGCTGGTAAAACATTCTTGATCCAAGGAGCTGGAGCTAACCTTCCCTTCCTTGAGTCAAATCTGCAGTCCCCTTACGGGTTTAACGCTTGCCCACGACCTTAATAATAATAAGTACAGTACTGTATATTTTGGCCAACAAATAAAGCACTGCCTCTTGTAATCTGCTGATGAGGACCTCATTTCTACCATGGAACACACAGTACTCCTCTTTCCATTTTTTTTATTCCATGTGGGCTTGTTGCTGATCTCTATAAAGGGAGTCAGGGAAGGTAATCAGCTGAACTGCAGTTTAAGTGGTGGTAAGTACACAAGTGTTCAATCTGAATGTCTAGTGGTGTTACACCCTCAGATATAAGATAAGATAAGATAAGATTTCGTTCGGATTTTTAACCCCGGAGGGTTAGCCACCCAGGATAACCCAAGAAAGTCAGTGCGTCATCGAGGACTGTCTAACTTATTTCCATTGGGGTCCTTAATCTTGTCCCCCAGGATGCGACCCACACCAGTCGACTAACACCCAGGTACCTATTTGCTGCTAGGTGAACAGGACAACAGGTGTAAGGAAACGTGTCGAAATGTTTCCACCCGCCGGGAATCGAACCCGGGCCCTCCGTGTGTGAAGCGGGAGCTTTAGCCACCAGGCCACCGGGTCAAAGACAATTTCAGAGAATAACTTTACTGTGGTGTTTAGGCCAAATTCTTCCCAGACTGAAGAAGTCTGCTCCTCAGACGAAATATCTCAGTAAGTTCCTCTCTTCAACCGCATCTTTCTTATCAGGTTACAGAAGGGCATTAGAAAACCCCAGCCATGTCTCTGACGCAATCACTCAATTTCCTGGGGAGTCTACAACCTGATCCACCTGGACTAAGACTAGTCTACAACCTGATCCACCTGGACTAAGACTAGTCTACAACCTGATCCACCTGGACTAAGACTAGTCTACAACCTGATCCACCTGGACTAAGACTAGTCTACAACCTCATTCAACTGGACTAAGACTAGTCTACAACCTCATTCAACTGGACTAAGACTAGTCTACAACCTGATTCAACTGGACTAAGACTAGTCTACAACCTGATTCAACTGGACTAAGACTAGTCTACAACCTGATTCAACTGACTAAGACTAGTCTACAACCTGATTCAACTGGACTAAGACTAGTCTACAACCTGATTCAACTGGACTAAGACTAGTCTACAACCTGATTCAACTGGACTAAGACTAGTCTACAACCTGATTCAGCTGGACTAAGACTAGTCTACAACCTGATATACCTGGACTAAGACTAGTCTCCAACCTGATTCAACTGGACTAAGACTAGTCTACAACCTGATTCAACTGGACTAAGACTAGTTACAACCTGATATACCTGGACTAAGACTAGTCTACAACCTGATTCAACTGGACTAAGACTAGTCTACAACCTGATTCAACTGGACTAAGACTAGTCTACAACCTGATATACCTGGACTAAGACTAGTCTACAACCTGATTCAACTGGACTAAGACTAGTCTACAACCTGATTCAGCTGGACTAAGACTAATTACAACCTGATATACCTGGACTAAGACTAGTCTACAACCTGATTCAACTGGACTAAGACTAGTCTACAACCTGATTCAACTGGACTAAGACTAGTCTACAACCTGATTCAACTGGACTAAGACTAGTCTACAACCTGATTCAACTGGACTAAGACTAGTCTACAACCTGATCCAACCGGACAAACTAGTCTACAACCTGATCCAACCGGACAAACTAGTCTACAACCTGTTCCAACCGGACTAAAACTAGTCTACAACCTGATCCAACCGGACAAACTAGTCTACAACCTGATCCAACCGGACTAAAACTAGTCTACAACCTGATCCAACTAGTCTACAACCTGATCCAACTAGTCTACAACCTGTTCCAACTAGTCTACAACCTGTTCCAACTAGTCTACAAGGTGATACAACTGGAAGAGGAGTAAGAGTAGAGACTCACCTGATCTGTAAATATAATGGTGACACGGAGGATGGTGCCAGACACCAGGATGATGAGTGATGCCAGCACCATCACTCATGGACTTAGTGGAGTTGATGTCAGTGATGCCTTGTCTCATCACCACCACTGGATACAACTCTGGTTTAGCTGCCACCTGTGCTGGAATACATTCTAGATATGTATACCATACAACAAGGCTACAATATATGCTAATTAATTAATCCATGACATTATTATTATGATTATTATTACTGTTAGTTATTATTATGATTATTATTATGATTATTATTACTGTTAGTTATTATTATTATTGTTAGTTATTGCTGTTATTATTATTGTTATTATTACTGTTATTTTTATTAGTTATTATTGCTGTTGTTATTATTATTAATGCTATTATTATTGCTATTATTATTATTGTTGAGATTTTTTATAACTTTTCTGCAATTAGTGTAATAACTAAATGATATAATATTGTTTATATAAGGTAGTATAAATATATAGTGTTTATGTAAAGTCAAAAAAGAACCGACGTCTCAGTCGACGTCTCGAGGACAATGGCGTAACGTGTTACTCTTGTGAGTGCTGTTAATTTAATCGTGACTAATCGTATTTGTTGGAATAATATCAGCGTAAATCTGGCTCTGGAAAATGAGATACTATGGCGAGCATCGGGAATAATACCGATGTGTAATGTAAAATGTCAAGATTGAGGCGGATAATAATGGATAGAAAATGAGGTGCGGGTTGCCAGGATCAAGGACCGTCTACCGCGTGGATATTAATGATTCTTTCGCCTCCCACTGAATTTTAATTCTCACATAATAGGTAAGATAACTCATTATTAGACAATATTTGTTGCCTATCCATAGAGAGGCGTTATGATGTAAAGCCCAAGGAATAGTTGGGTGTCTTAATGACCATTTTGTAATTATATATATATATATATATATATATATATATATATATATATATATATATATATATATTATATATATATATATATATATATATATATATATATATATTATATATATATATGCATTTAATTTTTTATACTGTACATGTAATTTGTCAGCCCCTCAAGGGAGGTTCCTTGACGCTCGTGACAGGCTCTTGATCTTGGGAATTGGATCTGTGCTTTAGTTCGCGCCATTGAGCCTCAGTACCTTCCATCCCCCCCCCCACAGGTGATGTATAATTCCTACGGATTTAGCGCTCCCCTATGATTATGATACTAGTTCCACTTGTCTCCCACGTACAACAGTCCCACGTACAAGCCCCACTTGTCTCCCACATACAAGTCCCACTTCTCTCCCACGTACAACAGTCCCATTTGTCCCACGTACAAGTCCCATTTGTCCCACGTACAACAGTCCCATTTGTCCCACGTACAACAGTTCCATTTGTCCCACGTACAACAGTTCCATTTGTCCCACGTACAACAGTCCCACTTGTCCCACGTACAACAGTTCCATTTGTCCCACGTACAACAGTTCCATTTGTCCCACGTACAACAGTCCCACTTGTCCCACGTACAAGTCCCATTTGTCCCACGTACAACAGTCCCATTTGTCCCACGTACAACAGTTCCATTTGTCCCACGTACAACAGTTCCATTTGTCCCACGTACAACAGTCCCACTTGTCCCACGTACAACAGTTCCATTTGTCCCACGTACAACAGTTCCATTTGTCCCACGTACAACAGTCCCACTTGTCCCACGTACAAGTCCCATTTGTCCCACGTACAACAGTCCCATTTGTCCCACGTACAACAGTTCCATTTGTCCCACGTACAACAGTCCCACTTGTCCCACGTACAAGTCCCACTTGTCTCCCACGTACAGCTAATACCAGTAAGTGTAATATCTGTTTTAGTTGTGCCCAGAATCCCCTCAAGGAAGGTTCCTTGATGTTGGTGAGGGGCTCTTGATTTAGGGAATTGGATCTGTGCTCCAGTTCCCCGAATTAAACCTGAATGCCTTCCACATCCCCCCCAGGCGCTGTATAATCCTCCGGGGTTTAGCGCTTCCCCTTGATTATAATAATAATGTGCCCAGAATTCACCCTAGAAGCCTGGTCACAGACCGGGCCGCGGGGGCGATGACCCCCGAATATCTCTCCAGGTATACCCCAGGTAGTTATGTGGGTGAAATAATTCAGGATTATACCTGTGAACCTCTCCAACATAATTTCTCACAATTATCATTATTAAACTAGTCGTATATACAATGAACCACACTCAAAATTCTTCAATTAGCAAGACCTCTCCATGTATAAATTAAAGATAATAGCATCAAGTTCCTCACAGAGATGTTAACGACGTTATTGATAGAGGAGAAATAAGTCACTGACTTTTTTTTTTTGGGGGGGGGGTCGATCGATACCATGCCTAACACTTCTAGGGTAGGGTAGGCGCCTGAGTCCGAGCCTTTAGCTCATAAGACTGTCATTCCCATTTGCCCCCTTGGGGCGGGGATGGCAGACCAGAGAGGCCTAGCCTGTGGCTAGGCCTCGGGACAGTTGGTCCCAAAGATGAGGAGGTACTTGTGCCTCCTCCCATGGGAGAGTTAGGTCTCAGACACTCCCTAAAGAGGGAGCCAAGGCCGGGCCACCACTTGGAAAAGGCCCGGGCCGGGAGAATACCGGCTAATCTTTAATAATAATAATAATAATTTTGGGGGGGGTTATCCCAGGTTCTCTACACATATGCTGCTATGTATGATAATCTGTGTAACTCTATTTGTGTATACCTGAATAAACTTAATTAGCAAGTGCTTCAGCCGCTAAAAATTTAGAAAAAAAATTCTCTGCATAGGATAAGTATCAAATATGTGACACCTTGAGGTAGCCTCTCTTCCTGGAGTTGCAAATTATTCAGTGATAACTGCAGATACCTCATCTGTATACAGTTACACATACAACTACAATTTAGTATACAGCCAGCCCATACTCACATCATCACACAACTGTACACTGCTAGCCACAAATTACAACTATACACACACAAATACAATCATACACACAGCTATAAACAGAGACGAGAGGCTTCAAACTTCACTCGCTGTATAGCCCTTGTGGCTTAGCGCTTCTTTTTGATTATAATAATAATTCAAACCTCACTCATTTAAAGACTGAGGGGTCAGCAAAGTTGACATAAACTGTACTAAATAAAGTCTGCAGCCAATGCTTGTCTGGCAAATCTAAAAGTAGCTGAATCTCGACAGTGTCAGTCCGGGTCGGCCCTTTATATAGCATACAATGCTGTATAGTACACAACTGCTACCTAATTCTTAATCACTGTAAATCTCGGAACTGATTATCCAGCGATTTAAAAAAAAATCGAGTTCGGCTTCTTTATTATTATTGTAATCATATGGAAGCGCTAAATCCGTATGATTATACAGCGCCTGCCGGGGGGTGGGGGATGGAAGGTATTCAGGAACCCATCACCAGCATCCAGGAACCTCTCTTGAGGGGGGGGGGGGTTCGGCTTCAAATGAACGTAGTACTAATGATAAATATATTTTGCACGCAAAAACTCGCATTACAAATATGTCTGGCAGACTGCAGCACCAGCATGCAACTCACACCTGAAAAAAAAAAAACGAGTCCAGAGGTATGTAACGAGGCTTGTACCTGAGGTAAGGGAGTAGGAATTATGAGGCGAGGCTGACGAAATTGAACCTAGCGATGTTTTAGGACAGAAGCAAGGGAGACAAGACACACGGAGGTTGATAGGGTACACAGGGATAGGTTGTTTGAGAGGTGGGAAAGATGTACACAGGGGGCGCAGCTGGAAATTAAAAACACGGATGAGCCACAGGGATGTCAGGAAATATTTCTTAAACCTCAGGGTGGTTAGGGAATGAAATAATTTCGACGAAGAAGTGGTGGTAGCAGGCTTCATACGTAGTTTTAAGAGCAGGTATGACAGGCCCCTAAGTTAATCTCGAAATTTGCAAGTTGAGTGGCGAGGACCAGAAGCTAATACACAACCTCAGAACTAACGAAATCGTAATAGCACGATTTGGGTTGGGTTTGAACTCATGGCGAGTCGTAAAACTCCAGGCAAGTTTGTAACCTACTCAACCATTTATGCAACAAGTATACACACAGACACACACGTGGAGGCAGTAACCTCATAGTAAGGCGGAGGAGCACGCATATCACACTTCCTGATGGAGTGATGACGAGGCAGGTGGGCGGAACATGAACGATGGAGGCCATAAGAGAGAAGTGACGTGGTTTCACTTGATGATGTATCATCTGGCAGGAAGTAGCGGTCGTAGTAGGCGTTTGGGTGCCGCCGATCATAGAAGTCGTACACACTACGACCTGATGAATAAAGGAAAATACTGTTACCGTATATTCACAGGAAAGTACTGGTCTCCAGCACCTTGGGGACTAGGGAAGTATTAGTCCCCAGCACCTTGGGGACTAGGGAAGTATTAGTCTCCAGCACCTTGGGGACTAGGGAAGTATTAGTCCCCAGCACCTTGGGGACTAGGGAAGTATTAGTCTCCAGCACCTTGGGGACTAGGGAAGTATTAGTCTCCAGCACCTTGGGGACTAGGGAAGTATTAGTCCCCAGCACCTTGGGGACTAGGGAAGTATTAGTCCCCAGCACCTTGGGGACTAGGGAAGTATTAGTCTCCAGCACCTTGGGGACTAGGGAAGTATTAGTCCCCAGCACCTTGGGGACTAGGGAAGTATTAGTCTCCAGCACCTTGGGGACTAGGGAAGTATTAGTCTCCAGCACCTTGGGGACTAGGGAAGTATTAGTCCCCAGCACCTTGGGGACTAGGGAAGTATTAGTCCCCAGCACCTTGGGGACTAGGGAAGTATTAGTCTCCAGCACCTTGGGGACTAGGGAAGTATTAGTCCCCAGCACCTTGGGGACTAGGAAAGTATTAGTCCCCAGCACCTTGGGGACTAGGAAAGTATTAGTCTCCAGCACCTTGGGGACTAGGGAAGTATTAGTCTCCAGCACCTTGGGGACTAGGAAACTACTAGTCCCTAGTACCTTGGGGACTAGGAAAGTACTAGTCCCCAGCACTTTGGGGACTAGGAAAGTACTAGTCCCCAGCACCTGTGGACTAGGAAAGTACTAGTCCCCAGCACCTGTGGACTAGGAAAGTAATAGTCTCCAGCACCTTGGGGACTAGGAAAGTACTAGTCCCCAACACTTTGGGGACTAGGAAAGTACTAGTCCCCAGCACCTGTGGACTAGGAAAGTACTAGTCTCCAGCACCTGTGGACTAGGAAAGTACTAGTCCCTAGTACTTTGGGGACTAGGAAAGTACTAGTCCCCAACACTTTGGGTACTAGGAAAGTACTAGTCCAAACACTTTGGGGACTAGGAAAGTACTAGTCTCCAGCACCTGTGGACTAGGAAAGTACTAGTCCCTAGTACTTTGGGGACTAGGAAAGTACTAGTCCCTAGTTCCTTGGGGACTAGGGAAGTAATAGTCCCCAGCACTTTGGGGACTAGGAAAGTACTAGTCCCCAGCACCTTGGGGACTAGGGAAGTAATAGTCCCCAGCACTTTGGGGACTAGGAAAGTACTAGTCCCTAGTACCTTGGGGACTAGGAAAGTACTAGTCCCCAGCACCTGTGGACTAGGAAAGTACTAGTCTCCAGCACATTGGGGACTAGGAAAGTACTAGTCCCTAGTACCTTGGGGACTAGGAAAGTACTAGTCCCCAGCACTTTGGGGACTAGGAAAGTACTAGTCCCCAGCACCTGTGGACTAGGAAAGTACTAGTCCCCAGCACCTGTGGACTAGGAAAGTACTAGTCTCCAGCACCTTGGGGACTAGGAAAGTACTAGTCTCCAACACTTTGGGGACTAGGAAAGTACTAGTCCCCAGCACCTGTGGACTAGGAAAGTACTAGTCTCCAGCACCTGTGGACTAGGAAAGTACTAGTCCCTAGTACTTTGGGGACTAGGAAAGTACTAGTCCCCAACACTTTGGGGACTAGGAAAGTACTAGTCCCAACACTTTGGGGACTAGGAAAGTACTAGTCCCTAGTACTTTGGGGACTAGGAAAGTACTAGTCCCTAGTACTTTGGGGACTAGGAAAGTACTAGTCCCCAGCACCTTGGGGACTAGGAAAGTACTAGTCCCCAGCGCTTTGGGGACTAGGGAAGTACTAGTCCCCAGCACCTTGGGGACTAGGAAAGTACTAGTTCCCAGCGCTTTGGAGACTAGGGAAGTAATAGTCCCCAGCACTTTGGGGACTAGGAAAGTACTAGTCCCCAGCACTTTGGGGACTAGGGAATTAATAGTCCCCAGCACTTTGGGGACTAGGAAAGTACTAGTCCCCAGCACTTTGGGGACTAGGGAAGTACTAGTCCCTAGTACCATGGGGACTAGGAAAGTACTAGTCCCCCAGCACTTTGGGGACTAGGGAAGTAATAGTCCCCAGCACTTTGGGGACTAGGGAAGTACTAGTCCCTAGTACCTTGGGGACTAGGAAAGTACTAGTCCCCAGCACTTTGGGGACTAGGGAAGTAATAGTCCCCAGCACCTTGGGGACTAGGAAAGTACTAGTCCCTAGTACCTTGGGGACTAGGAAAGTACTAGTCCCCAGCACTGGGGACTAGGAAAGTACTAGTCCCCAGCACCTTGGGGACTAGGAAAGTACTAGTCCCTAGTACCTTGGGGACTAGGAAAGTACTAGTACCTTGGGGACTAGGAAAGTACTAGTCCCTAGTACCTTGGGGACTAGGAAAGTACTAGTCCCCAGCACCTTGGGGACTAGGAAAGTACTAGTCCCCAGCACCTGTGGACTAGGAAAGTACTAGTCCCCAGCACCTTGGGGATTAGGAAAGTACTAGTCCCTAGTACCTTGGGGACTAGGAAAGTACTAGTCCCCAGCACTTTGGGGACTAGGAAAGTACTAGTCCCCAGCACCTTGGGGACTAGGAAAGTACTAGTCCCTAGTACCTTGGGGACTAGGAAAGTACTAGTCCCCAGCACTGGGGACTAGGAAAGTACTAGTCCCCAGCACCTTGGGGACTAGGAAAGTACTAGTCCCTAGTACCTTGGGGACTAGGAAAGTACTAGTACCTTGGGGACTAGGAAAGTACTAGTCCCTAGTTCCTTGGGGACTAGGAAAGTACTAGTCCCCAGCACCTGTGGACTAGGAAAGCACTAGTCCCTAGTACTTTAGGGAGTAGGAAAGTACTAGTCCCTAGTACCTTGGGGACTAGGAAAGTACTAGTCCCTAGTACCTTGGGGACTAGGAAAGTACTAGTCCCCAGCACTTTGGGGACTAGGAAGGTACTAGTCCCTAGTACCTTGGGGACTAGGAAAGTACTAGTCCCCAGCACTTTGAGGACTAGGAAAGTACTAGTCCCCAGCACTTTGGGGACTAGGAAAGTACTAGTCCCCAGCACTTTGGGGACTAGGAAAGTACTAGTCCTCAGCACCTTGGGGACTAGGAAAGTACTAGTCCCCAGCACTTTGGGGACTAGGAAAGTACTAGTCCCCAGCACCTGTGGACTAGGAAAGTACTAGTCCCCAGCACCTGTGGACTAGGAAAGTACTAGTCCCCAGCACCTGTGGACTAGGAAAGTACTAGTCCCCAGCACCTGTGGACTAGGAAAGTATTAGTCCCCAGCACCTGTGGACTAGGAAAGTACTAGTCCCCAGCACCTGTGGACTAGGAAAGTACTAGCCCCTAGTACCTTGGGGACTAGGAAAGTACTAGTCCTTAGTACCTTGGGGACTAGGAAAGTACTAATCCCCAGCACCTGTGGACTAGGAAAGTACTAGTCCCCAGCACCTGTGGACTAGGAAAGTACTAGTCCCTAGTACTTTGGGGACTAGGAAAGTACTAGTCCCTAGTACCTTGGGGACTAGGAAAGTACTAGTCCCCTGCACCTTGGGGACTAGGAAAGTACTAGTCCCCAGCACTTTGGGGACTAGGAAAGTACTAGTCCCCAGCACCTATGGACTAGGAAAGTACTAGTCCCCAGCACCTGTGGACTAGGAAAGTACTAATCCCCAGCACCTGTGGACTAGGAAAGTACTAGTCCCTAGTACCTTGGGGACTAGGAAAGTACTAGTCCCTAGTACCTTGGGGACTAGGAAAGTACTAGTCCCCAGCACCTGTGGACTAGGAAAGTACTAGTCCCTAGTATCTTGGGGACTAGGAAAGTACTAGTACCTTGGGGACTAGGAAAGTACTAGTCCCCAGCACCTGTGGACTAGGAAAGTACTAGTCCCTAGTATCTTGGGGACTAGGAAAGTACTAGTCCCCAGTACTTTATGGACTAGGAAAGTTCTAATCCCCAGCACTTTGGGGACTAGGAAAGTACTAGTCCCCAGCACCTTGGGGACTAGGAAAGTACTAGTCCCCAGCACCTTGGGGACTAGGAAAGTACTAGTCCCCAGCACTTTGGGGACTAGGAAAGTACTAGTCCCCAGCACCTGTGGACTAGGAAAGTACTAGCCCTCAGCACCTGTGGACTAGGAAAGTACTAGTCCCTAGTATCTTGGGGACTAGGAAAGTACTAGTCCCCAGCACCTGTGGACTAAGAAAGTACTAGTCCCTAGTACTTTGGGGACTAGGAAAGTACTAGTCCCTAGTACCTTGGGGACTAGGAAAGTACTAGTCCCCAGCACCTGTGGACTAGGAAAGTACTAGTCCCCAGCACCTGTGGACTAGGAAAGTACTAGTCCCTAGTATCTTGCGGACTAGGAAAGTACTAGTCCCCAGCACCTGTGGACTAGGAAAGTACTAGTCCCTAGTACCTTGGGGACTAGGAAAGTACTAGTCCCTAGTACCTTGGGGACTAGGAAAGTACTAGTCCCCAGCACCTGTCGACTAGGAAAGTACTAGTCCCCAGCACCTGTGGACTAGGAAAGTACTAGTCCCTAGTATCTTGCGGACTAGGAAAGTACTAGTCCCCAGCACCTGTGGACTAGGAAAGTAATAGTCCCTAGTACCTTGGGGACTAGGAAAGTACTAGTCCCTAGTACCTTGGGGACTAGAGAAGTACTAGTCCCCAGCACCTGTGGACTAGGAAAGTACTAGTCCCCAGCACCTGTGGACTAGAAAAGTACTAGTCTCCAGCACCTGTGGACTAGGAAAGTACTAGTCCCCAGCACCTGTGGACTAGGAAAGTACTAGTCCCCAGCACCTGTGGACTAGGAAAGTACTAGTCCCCAGCACCTGGGAACTAGGAAATAACCTTACATCCGGGAAAAGTAAAGGTAACTCCGACTCCCTAGACCAAAAACTCTCCCCGTATCAAGTTCAGTACCCACCTGACAACATAGCATCATAGAGGTGCTGCTCTAGTGGGTCAAAGGAAGGTCTGGCTGCCTCACTGTAGGGCGGCGGGGCAGGATAGGGCGTGGGTGGCAGAAAGGGCAAAGGCGGGCCATACATGGGCGTGTCATCTGAGGGCGTGGGTGTGACATAAGCGTGGGTGTGACCCAAGGTCTGTGAGGCTGAGGACTCGTAAATCTTCCTCCTTCGCCAGTAACCACAACCAGCCAGGCAGGACACCACCAGCAGCGCCACCGTCACCCTGCACACACAACATTGATTAGCAAATACACTGAGAACAATGCATCCTAGAGTACAAACTTCCTGCAGGATGAAAACTATATATGTGCGTTTATACATATATGCAAAATAACCAACCAAGTGGAGAAATAGTGAATTCCAAGCGCTTTCGTGATTTCTCACATTTTCAAGCGCTTGGAGTTGACTGTATTTTCACTGTGGTTATGTTGCATGCATATATATATATATATATATATATATATATATATATATATATATTATATATATATATATATATATATATATATATATATATATATATATATATATATATATATATATAATATATATATATATATATATATATATATATATATATATATATATATATATATGCAATAAGATCACAGTAAACAGGTGATATCAGAATATGCAAAATAACCGCTGTGAAAGATTAGCGATATTCCAAGCGCTTTCGTGACTTCTCACATTATCAAGGAACTATGTTCAGTTATCTTAAAATAATAATATTTATAATTATAACAAAATTAGATACAATTCATATTTTATCCAACACTTGCATACCCCTGATTATAATAATACTAATATTATAATAATAATAATATTGTACAATGACATTGTATGCAGTATGTGACTCCAAGCAGTTTTCGAGTGTCTGTGATTTAGGTAGGTCACTGTGCCACTTACCAAAAGTACCAGTTTGTCCAGAGAGGTAGAGCGTGGAGATAAATGGCCGGAGTCTGCATAGGCGGCAGAGTTTGATGATTAATGTTACGTGGCGGGGGAGCCCCCTGTGGTGGGGGTACACTTTGAGGCAGGGGAGCACCCTGTGGTAGGGGCGGCACGTGGTGATCAGTGTTACGTGGCAGGGGTAGTGGCTGTGCCTGGAGACTACCTTGATGACTGGTGAGGCGGGGCTGAGGTGCCACTTGTGGCGGCCATGGCCGCTCTGGTGTGTCACAACACTTGCTGGCATGTTCCTCACAGCTGTAATAATGATGATAACTCATTACACACCTCAACGAACTCATTACACACCTCAACGAACTCATTACACACCTCAACGAACTCATTACTTAAGTCATAAACTGAAAAATAACGGTATATTACCATATTACCGTATAGCCCTTGTGGTTTAGCACTTTTTTTATATTAATAATAATAATAATAATTACCACATTACCTGACAATATCAAACACTATAACTGCTTCATTATATCAGTCACTATAACTTCTACAATAAGTCACTATAACTTCTACAATAAGTCACTATAACTTCTACAATAAGTCACTATAACTTCTACAATAAGTCACTATAACTTCTACAATAAGTCACTATAACTTCTACAATAAGTCACTATAACTTCTACAATAAGTCACTATAACTTCTACAATAAGTCACTATAACTTCTACAATAAGTCACTTTGACTTTTTGGGTTATCCTGGGTAATTTACACTATGTATGATGATTGTATATATGTGTACCTGTGCCTATATAAAGTTACCTACTAACTTCTATACAATATTAAATGTCACACGGGTTATAATACAGTATCTTAACAGGCTGTAATGAGGTTTGATCCAGTATTTAAAAACTGTAATAACTACCCCAGATATAACAACTACTGTACCCCAGATATAACAACTACTGTACCCCAGATATAACAGCTACTGTACCCCAGATATAACAACTACTATACCCCAGATATAACAACTACTGTACCCCAGATATAACAACTACTGTACCCCAGATATAACAACTACTGTACCCCAGATATAACAACTACTGTACCCCAGATATAACAACTACTGTACCCCAGATGATATAACAACTACTGTACCCCAGATATAACAACTACTGTACCCCAGATATAACAACTACTGTATCCCAGATATAACAACTACCGTACCCCAGATATAACAACTACTGTACCCCAGATATAGCAACTACTGTACCCCAGATATAACAACTACTGTACCCCAGATATAACAACTACTGTACCCCAGATATAGCAACTACTGTACCCCAGATATAACAACTACTGTACCCCAGATATAACAACTACTGTACCCTAGATATAACAACTACTGTACCCCAGATATAACAACTACTGTACCCCAGATATAACAACTACTGTACCCCAGATATAACAACTACTGTACCCCAGATGATATAACAACTACTGTACCCCAGATATAACAACTACTGTACCCCAGATATAACAACTATTGTACCCCAGATATAACAACTACTGTACCCCAGATATAACAACTACTGTACCCCAGATGATATAACAACTACTGTACCCCAGATATAACAGCTACTGTACCCCAGATATAACAACTACTGTACCCCAGATATAACAACTACTGTACCCCATATATAACAACTGAAACAACTACTGTACCCCAGATATAACAACTGAAACAACTACTGTACCCCAGATATAACAGCTACTGTACCCCAGATATAACTACTGTACCCCAGATGATATAACAACTACTGTACCCCAGATGATATAACAACTACTGTACCCCAGATATAACAACTACTGTACCCCAGATATAACAACTACTGTACCCCAGATGATATAACAACTACTGTACCCCAGATATAACAACTACTGTACCCGATATAACAACTACTGTACCCCAGATATAACAACTGAAACAACTACTGTACCCCATATAACAACAAACAACTACTGTACCCCAGATATAACACCTGTAACAACTACTGTACCCCAGATATAACAACTGAAACAACTACTGTACCCCAGATATAACAACTGAAACAACTACTGTATTCCAGATACCATAAACATTACAACACAACTATTAAATGTATAAAATATGAGAAAACTAATTTGTATTAAATTTCTAATAAATAGAAACTGAGATTAATGCAGAGGGAGGCAGAGGAAAGTACTGAGAGAGGCACAGGGAAAAGGTTATACAGAGGGAAGGTATGAAAGAAACAGAGGGATTAAGATAGAGAGGCACAGATAAAAGACTATATAAAGGCAATAATATCATAGAAAAAAATATGGAAGTTCATTATACTTACTAAATCTGGCCGACATCACAAGGCTGTGAAGATACCTGAAGGAAGGAGACAAATACTGATAAAACAAATAAACGCAAGTCAATGATTAGATTTAGATTTTGCCACAGAAGTGCAGTGCTGTATAGCCCTTGTGGCTTAGCGCTTCTTTTTGATTATAATAATAATTTATTGTTCAGCCCATAAGCCATCGTGTGGACATGTCAGTGAGGCACACAGACTGCTCGTTATTTATGTAGTTGAAACTAACTACAGCTAAAAATATATTTCACTTTTGTCAGATATAAAAGCTGGTATTTGATCAGTTATTAGATATACTGTAAGATTTTGTATTAATACTCTCAATTATCAGGTGTGAGAGCTGGTATTAAATACTATCAGCTATCAGGTGTGAGAGCTGGTATTAAATACTATCAACTATCTGGTGTAAGAGCTGGTATTAAATACTATCAGCTATCAGGTGTAAGAGCTGGTATTAAATACTATCAGCTATCATGTGTAAGAGCTGGTATTAAATACTATCAACTATCAGGTGTAAGAGCTGGTATTAAATACTATCAGCTATCAGGTGTAAGAACTGGTATTAAATACTATCAATTATCAGGTGTGAGAGCTGGTATTAAATACTATCAGGTGTAAGAGCTGGTATTAAGTACTATCAACTATCAGGTGTAAGAGCTGGTATTAAATACTATCAATTATCAGGTGTGAGAGCTGGTATTAAATACTATCAACTATCTGGTGTAAGAGCTGGTATTAAATACTATCAGCTATCAGGTGTAAGAGCTGGTATTAAATACTATCAGCTATCAGGTGTAAGAGCTGGTATTAAATACTATCAACTATCAGGTGTAAGAGCTGGTATTAAATACTATCAGCTATCAGGTGTAAGAGCTGGTATTAAATACTATCAACTATCAGGTGTAAGAGCTGGTATTAAATACTATCAACTATCTGGTGTAAGAGCTGCTGTTTTATTGATGGACTGGATTAACAAGGCTCCTGCTTGCATTCATCTTACTGACATGTGTCAAGTGTATATTGGTCTAGTATTATATTAATAAACAGCGCTAAACCCTCGTGGGTCATTCATAACAAGGACTAGTGGAAGCTTGATCGACTGAGCAGTAATTACAGCCTAGTCTCTGATAAGTAATACTGCTGTTTGATTGGTTCCCAAGGATGGTTGTTAAGAAGTAATCACAGCCTAGTCTTTGATAATGATACAGCTGGTTGATTGGTTTCCAAGATAAGATAAAGTTTTCTTCGGATTTTTAACCCCGGAGGGTTAGCCACCCAGGATAACCCAAGAAAGTCTGTCTTATTTCCATTGTTGTCCTTGAATATTGTCCCCCAGGATGCCACCCACACCAGTCGACTAACACCCAGGTACCTACTTGTTGCTTGGTGAACAGGACAACAGGTGTAAGGAAACACATCGAAATGTTTCCACCCGCCGGGAATCGAACCCGGACCCTCCGTGTGTGAAGCGGGAGCATATAGCCACCAGACCACCGGGCTTGGTTCTAAGAAGTAATTACAGCCTAGTCTCTGATAATGATACTGTTGGTTGATTGGTTCCCCGGTATGGTTTCAGAAACTACAAGTGCAACCTGTGGCCACTTTCGAGGAGTTTTGCAACAGGGACAACAAATGTTACAAGATTTATTAGACCATAGAGGCCTAGCTTCTCTCTACGGGAAGTTAGGCCTGGGGACAGTTGGTCCCAGAGATGAGGGGGTACTTGTGCCTCCTCCCATGGCAGATTTAGGTCTCAGACACTCCCTAGACAGCTAAGGCCCGGGCCACCACTTGGAAAAGGCCCGGGCTGGGAGAATACCGGCGAATTTTTAAAAAAACACAAGATTTATCGTATGTCTCCTCTCCTAGACTGATCCCAGGAGATTTCGCTTTCACGCTGACCAGTGAGCTACGAGGGTTGCCACTCAGTTTCTTGCAATAATATCGTACTAGAACGAATAAGCAAATTAGTGCAGTTTGCGTGATCAGGTTAAAAAAAATAATAAGGTCAAGGAATCGACAGTTCTGGTGAAAATAAGAGGCAGTAGCGTGTTGTAGTGAGGGAGTTAGCAAGGCTAAATTTTCCGCCTCCTTCCTTCCAATCTTCCTCTCTTACATCTGTTTTGATCTTCCCCTCCTTCCATCTCCCTCTCCATGTATCCTGGCCGCCCTCCCGCCTCCTTCAAGTCATTCTCTTTCCCTGAAACATTAGTAGAAGGCCTCCATCAGTTGGCTTAAAGTTCCCACTTCGGGTCATCACACGATTAAGACCCACGTCAGGAAACACTTATCCTATTTCCTGACAAAACTTACCTAACCTAACTAACCTCCCTTTCATCCACCAATTCTGACCTCCTTCCCTCTCTAACCCCTTCCCCTCTTCCCCCCTGCCAATAACTTCCCCCCTGCTACACGTAGCGTGACCTCCCTCCCTGGGAGTGGGTTACCAGGCCTCATCAACCACCACAACTATTGCTTTTATACATGCAACTGCTCTCACTGCCTTATAAACTATAAACTAAGAAACAACAGCTGCCAATACAATACTAGATTTTTTTTTACCTGCGGAGTACAAGAGCAATGGAAAGGTTTGCAAAAAGTGTTTCTCTGTCTCTCTGTCTCTCTGTCTCTCTGTCTCTCTGTCTGTCTCTCTCTCTCTCTCTCTCTCTCTCTCTCTCTCTCTCTCTCTCTCTCTCTCTCTCTCTCTCTCTCTCTCTCTCTCTCTCTCTCTCTCTCTCTCATCTCTTCCTGGTATACAGAAATCATCCTGTTTGAAGGAATATGACAGAAAAACATAGCTTACGTTCCCACTATCATATACAACAGTATAACAGAATACTGATGATATATCAAGCTTTCTTTTATTATAAAACTAAAGCTTTCTAAAGCTTTCTGAAGCTTTCTAATTTCTTCAGCCTCTCACTCTCTCCCTCCTTTACACAAAGATACATAAAGTGTGTGTGTGTGTGTAAAATAAAGATGGGGTCGTCAACACGCTTATTAGTATCCACCGTGACCCACAATTTAAATCAGGAAACTTCAGAACAAAACCCCAACAAGAGGACAAAGTCACACCTGGGAAAGTGTCCTTGTAGCCTGTTCTGTCCTTGTAAACTGCTGTTACATTCAGACAAAAACAGTGTCCTTGTAACATACTGTTACAAACACAACAAAGTAACACTGACAGTACCTTTGCAACCTTCTGTTGCAAACAGCAAAAACAAACACAATACGGGAAGTGTTCTTGTAACTCGTTACAAACACAATAACAAAAGCAGACAACAGAAAAAATGTAATTAGCTGCTTATTTACATTAAGGAATAAGAGGGAAGTCTTGAGGTAAGTCTGACACTGACGTGTGTCACCCAGATGGTGCAGTGGAGAGGAGAGGAGGGAGAATGACGGAGGGGGAGAAAGAGGAACGGAAGAATGAGGGGAGGGAGAGCAAGGGAAGAATGAGTGAGGGGAGGCAGAGGTTGGGGGAAGTAGCGTGGTGTGGCGACTAGTGTATTGAACCAGGAGTCTCTCCAAGGTCACTTTCCCACACACGTTATTTAGGTCACAGTGTGTGTGTGTGTGTGCGTGCACCTATTTGTGGTTGCAGGGGTCGATTCATAGCTCCTGGCCCCGATTCTTTACTGATTGCTACTAGGTCCTCTCTCTCCCTGCTCCATGAGCTTTATCAAACCTCGTCTTAAAACTATGTATGGTTCCTGCCTCCACTAGGTCACTCTCTAGGCTGCTCCACTTCCTGACCACTCTACGACTGAAGAAATACTTCCTAACATCGTTTTGACTCATAGGAGTCGTCAACTTCCAATTTTGAACCCTTGTTTCTGTGTCCCATCTTGACCTACATTTACTAGACTCGACACACCCACCATACTCGAACTGTTCTTAGAAGTGTATACCGTTTTTTCTCCATCACCTTCTGAGTTACTCCGTTGTTCTCTTATCCAAAGATAAATACATCCTCAGGTCTCTATACATCATTTGAGTCTTCAGTTTCCATCTTGTTTGTATTTCGTGATCCATACTTGTAATTCTTTCAATGTCATTCGCAATCTCAGCAAATTTAGATGAAAAGGGAAATATCCCAAACATTTATGGCAAGAGATTGGTTCTGTCAGGTAAGCACCCCGTGGCGAGTGGCAGCTTTCCCAGATACAAGCCACGACCTCAGGAAAGGGACAGAGAGGAAAAAAAAGAATAAATTATAGGAATGGAAACACATTCTATAATAGTACTGAAGAAAGCCATCAGTGTACTACCAGGTCGAACCACCACCAGTGTTTTAACCTTCAACTTTACATGTGGGAACACACCCTCCTACCAATGGAAATAAGTAACGTTGACTTTTTTGGGTTATCCCAAGTAATTTACACATATGCTGCTATATATAATAATTTATGTAACTCTATTTATGTGTGCCTGTACCTAAATAAACTTACTATGTCAGGCGTGTACCACCGTCAGCAGTTACCAACACAAACCCATTGTATATGATGATATATGGCAGTGCAACATAGATAGCTTTTGTCCCTATTATGTATCACATAGAGCAAGGTAGCTGAACACTGCCGGTGTTCCCACTGTGTGACTATCATACCAAGTAGCAGAACACTGTCGGTGTTCCCACTGTGTAACTATCATACTGAGTAGCTGAACACTGCCGGTGTTCCCACTGTGTGACTATCATACAAAGTAGCAGAACACTGCCGGTGTTCCCACTGTGTAACTATCATAGTGAGTAGCTGAACACTGCCGGTGTTCCCACTGTGTAACTATCATACAAAGTAGCAGAACACTGTCGGTGTTCCCACTGTGTAACTATCATACTGAGTAGCTGAACACTGCCGGTGTTCCCACTGTGTAACTATCATACCAAGTAGCAAAACACTGTCGGTGTTCCCACTGTGTAACTATCATACCAAGTAGCAGAACACTGTCGGTGTTCCCACTGTGTAACTATCATACAAAGTAGCAGAACACTGTCGGTGTTCCCACTGTGTAACTA